ACAATACCGTAAGAGTGTCTCAGATGGTAATGTAGAACTCTTAGGGCCGCGTTATGTCGATGGGTATAGGCCGAGAACGCATATGCTGGACATGCTGATCGCAAGTACATTAGGGTCTCGGCGCCTCATGGCAGGCCCTGCACCTTGTGTCAGAAACCTCTATATCCACCACGCGACTGCGGTAGACTGAGGTGTTGAAGACACCATTCTGGCAAGTCATGATGAACACTTCAGCCCACTCGACGTGAGGAAATCGAGAGTCAGGTGCTTTGATAAGCCAAGATCTTCAATGTTATTGAGAGACGTATACTCACCCCGAGGTGAGTATACATCTCTCCGGCATCCAAATGATATAGGATGTTTCCATCTACGAGCTACACATCCTCTCGGTAGTCCCCACATAGTCCCGACTATCCCGAATTTCATACCGATAGCATGGGTGTACTCTTCAACCATTATTATTATTCCACCATCATCATTATTATCATTATCATCCAGGATTATCTGCTTGGAATGTAGGTATGTCTTACTCTCAAGGTTTTCTCGAATGTTCATCAGTTTATTATTTTGTTTGACCTTTATTTTTTCATTTCATAATTCAAGCTTCATTTACTTTTCATCAGTGGCTTTCAGATCTATGGAGTCTGAAAATACTTTTCGATTTTCTCAAAATGTTTTCCAATTATTGTCGCATTATGACAATGCCTTTTATCTGACAGAAACATTTTTCAATTTCTTTTTCAGCAATTTTGAACAATGTTCTGCTTTTGTACTGGGTCGTGATCTCCATTCTTTCGCTGTATCTCTTTTCAGGGTTTCATTAACTTTTGCTTTCAAATTCTGCATATCATATTCTTGTTGTACTTTCGTCATGACTCCGGGTGCTTCTCCTCTTCAAATTCTTCCTTAAACCTTCAATTTTCTTCGCTCATTCCATGTATTACTCTCAATAGTATTTTCCCTTGGATTCATTTCCTCACATCACGCATTTCACTGAGTCAGTATCAATAGGAGATAACTTGAACTACATCTTACAGTTTTTGTTGATCTTTCTGGAGATTTTCACCAGAAAGATCACCAGAAAACTCTGATATCTCTCTCGATTAATCAATTAGTGATAATGATATCAATTCAATGATACTAATTCGTTTCTGATGTATATGAAGGCTCTAACATAGCTGTGAGATTTGGTTTCAGTCATTTTTTGATGATGCGAACTCAATTATTAAAAAGCACGTTGAAAGTTAGTTTTTCTTTATCTGGTGCGGGAAAAGTTTTCTCAATATACTTTGAGCCAGTGATTTCAATTCTACCTGTTTCATATCTAATTTTTACTGAAAGCTATTATGCATTCTTTGTTCTTGTTGATTCATGGAATTGTTTAGCTTAGTAAGCTAAACAGTATTTGTAGTATTTGTTCATTTTTTCAACAAGTTTTTATCACCTCCACTTATGTATGTAACCGACTCCTTTGGACTCAATTTTGAGAAACTTTGAATAGACAGATTTATTTAGTTGTGTCTCTCCATTGCTACACAATAAAGGATTTCGTATTAAGACTGACAGTTGAAACATATATTGTAGCCTAAAAAATTGAAACAAATATATGTATGTAACCGACTCCTTTGGACTCAATTTTGAGAAACTTTAAATAGACAGATTTATTTTAAACTTTGTACACTTATCAAGAGTCGGTGACGATAAAATAATTTCATAAGTTCATCTTATTATTCTGATCTGGATCGCCAGGATTAAATAATTTCCTTATACAGTCTCTGTGTGAGAGCAAGTGAGACAACCACACTGTATACCCATGCGTATCGTCTACTCACTTTCTGGCTTAAGCAGTCGTCTTATTTAGTCGCTATCAGTTGATCCATTGGCCGAGAGGGTTGATGCGCAAGTCATAATCGGCACGATACAACGGCCTCACTGGGCGTGAGTTCACATCCTGTCCATGACTAGAAACAAATATTCGTTTTCTAGAATCGAACCCTCATTCCCCGTAACCAAACATGATAGACATAAAATTTACCATCGACCATCCAAGTAAACGTGGGTACGATCTTAGAAACCATAACTGATTTAATGAGCCATTCACGATTTCACCTTGAAGCTTGTCGCCTCCTTGTCCGGCACAGCACAGCACGGCCCGTCCCGTCAAAATACGGATAGGATTGGAACAATGAAAAAGAATGGACAACCGTCCACTAGCCCAGCACGGCACAGCCAAGAGCGTCCGACGCCGGAAAGGATTCCAGCTCTCCGATCCTGACCGGAAAATAACGGAACGTGTTGTGACGGACTGGCCAAGTGAGTGCGTCGCCAGCCAGCATTTGCCAGCATCAACTTGTCCAAACGTGCCTGGGAAGTTTTTGTCTCTCTATTTTGCTATTCCATCAGTGGACAGCACAGTATCAGACGGTACCTATGAAAATGGATAAGGAAAATTGAGTTGCTTGTTGAGGCAAGAATATCCAGAAGATTTGAAAATTTGCCTGGAGTCACTCGGAAATACTGAAAAAAATCCTCCTCGTCTTCTTTCAGATCGTTGAAAAGATGATGAAACTCTCCCAGATTTACCCTCATTTGATTAATGGGATGAACCCACAACATTTAGTTGTGTCTCTCCATTGCTACACAATAAAGGATTTCGTATTAAGACTGACAGTTGAAACATATATTGTAGCCTAAAAAATTGAAACAAATGGGTTTGAAATAGCAAGCCAAACTGATAAGTGAAAAATAAATAATAGTTTTAAAAACTGAAAAACACGCTTCAATAGCAACACAAACTAAAAAATGAAAATTAATTCGAAACTCATTTCGGATTGTGTTCAACATCAAAAATAAGTTTTATGACTCGATGTAACTTATGACTTTTAATAAGCCTGAAACCAGAATAAATCTGTTGAAAGAAAATCAATTTTATTGTAAAAAAGCGTGGGGTGATGAATACTCATTGTTATAAATAGTTGGTTAGGAACTGTTTGCCAGATTTGAGCCATAATAAATATATAATTCAAAGCATTTCACGCTTTTTCACAACAAAATTTTTTTTTTCATAGATAGATTCATTCTGATTACAGACTTATTAAAACTCATTAGTTACATCAAGCCATAGGACTTATTATCGATATTGTACCCAATCTTGAATTGCATTTTCTCTGTACTTTCTCTTTTTTTGTCTTATTTCTCCTGTATAATATTATGTATGTTTCTTCATTTTCTCTTTGTGTAAACTGGTGTATTTGATATTTTTCAGTATTTTCCGCATGTATCACTTCATATATTGTTTTTCAAATCCCCATTTATGTTCAGGAAGAAAGATATACTTCTAATCTCTAGGCCACTTCCTAATTTCCAGGTCTAACCCCCTTCAGAGTTCTACACAGACCTTCGGTTATTCCACATATTTCTGAATGGAGTAGGTGTATCAATTTTTTAAATTTTTTTTAACAGAAATATATTGTTCTTCAATCAATATTGTTATTTTTTGTTATAACTGTATTCACTTTCAGGCTAATTTTCCATGCCTACATTGATATGTTCTGTATCGAAAATTATGTAATTCAATATCTCTATCGAAGATAAAACTTTGAAAATAAAATGAGATAAATAATGATGAATCAATGAATTCAACAATTATGAATGTCATTTGAATTGCATTTGTGTTAGATGACAATTTTTTTATTTTCTAAGTCGTTGGAAATATAATGCTTATATCTACAACAATTTCTAAGAGATATTCAATAGTTTCAAGAACTAAATATCGCTTTCGACAATTTTATTTCGAGAAGATTGTATAATGAATCTGCAGAATAGTTTCACTGAAAATATTGATTTTTTTCAAAACCCGTACTTGAAAATCGATATTTAATACTCCATTCTATGGCTAACGTCCAACCCGTGTTAGGGATCACATGTTAAACGGTGAGACCTCGTTAATCCCTAGCTCGCACAAGTTTCGACTTCTGAGAGTTGTCGTTCACAGGGGTGCGACAGCTGGTTAACGAAAAAACTGATTTTTTTAATAAACTCCACTTTGATAAGCTGCTGAGTTGACGTTTGGTTCACCGAATCAAAAGTCTTGACGGCATATCGAAAAAACCCATACTGAATATTTTTTTAAAATTTCCAATGACAGTTCCATATGTCACATACAGACTTGAATAAATGTTCACACTCCTTCGTCAACTTATAGTTTTAATAACGACATTAAAATATTTTTGATAATCTCTATGATTGTATTGATATATTCAATATTTTCAGTTTTTCTTATAACCTTCACTCCTCACGAGTTTCTCTCATTTTCTATGGTTTCTCAATAGTTATTGACTTCATGACACCCTTCGTATTTCATATATTCCGGATACCGTTTGAAGCAATGTTCAAATAACCCAAATGATATTTTGGGTTTGAAGATATCAATTTTCATTTTCCAAACTGAAAAAGAATAATGAGAATGACATTATCTTCATGATCCATTGAAGTTTGATAAATTCAAATCTGTCGAATTCTAAAGCTTTGAAAAATATGTAAAAAATCGAAGAGAGTAATTTATTCTTCAATTTTGCTTACTTAGCATATGAAAAATTGATGTACAGAATAAAAAAAATCTCATAATTTACTATCTGTAGATACCCCGGAAAAGAATTGATTATTGCAATATTCTTTCCAAACCTTTGATATCGTTATCGTCTATTTCTATTTTCATCTCAAATGTAATCAATTGTGAAATATCCTTTGTACGAGGAACAAGTACAAATCAAAACACAACAAGACCTCACATTCAATATATTAAACAAAACCATACACATTCCTAAAGAAGATCTAACACAAAGAAAAGTACCTGATGCAGTACAAATACAGGCAAATTTACCTACCTGAGTTGAGACGCTCTGACCGTATAAATAGACAGGCGACAGGATGACAAGTTCAGTTTGAGGAGTGCCTAGAAGATGACAGTACTACCAACTGTCGAAAGCGCTCGCAGATAATTAAAGTGCTGTTCCTACCAGGTTAGATGGAAAAATCTCACTTGCTACTAACCAAGGAATTGTATGAAGTCCAGCGCTGTATGTTATGGCCTGGACTAGAAACAGGAGTAACTGGAGGTATTCGAAACGCGTATCAAGATTTGAAGAACTTTTGATATACATGAAAATTCCAGTTGCGAACAAAGTCAATGTGGTTAACCCCGTAGAGATGAGTATAAGTGGTTTTCTGCCAGAAATGTCCACCAAAAGTGGTGAAACTATGCTTGCGATAAAAAACACCACGTAATAAATACAATTCGCCACTCGGGAAGATATGGTTTCGCTATTCTGAAATACTGTTTCATAGTATGCTTGAATTGCGTAATTTCCGGATAAGTACTGGGTGAAGGATAATGTTAAAACAGTCCAAAGACATCGCCTGAAATGTTTCTTTCTCAACATATCTGTTTCTTTTCCTTTGTCATCTCCGTGTTCCAATATACTCTTGGATATTCGATCTAGGTCTTCCTGAATGTCTTGCTTTCCCCTTAGCTTCCTAAGACTGAGCTCTGCCTCTTCAGTATTTCCTTTCAACAAGCAATAGTATGGACTCTCTGGTACTAATGGTATTGTGATCAGCATGAGAAGAGTCAGTGCTGCTATCAGATAAGCTATTGCCTCCGATGACATGAACGTAACAAATACGTTGAATAATGCTATACCAAGACCAAATGATACCATTAGTAAAGTACCAAAAAATCCTCTGACTTCAGGGTCGGCTATTTCTGATAAATATGCAGGACTGACATTGAATATAGCGGCATCTATGAATCCTCCAAGAGCTCTTCCGATGTACAAATGGATTTTTGAGGTAGCCATGGCAATGAATAACCAAGACGCTGTGAGTGGAATCGGCATAAGAAGCAACATCGTTTTTCTTCCCACTAATTTCATCAAAATTGTAGTCACTATGCATCCAAGAAGTACTGTTAACGGTGTGATAGATATCAGTAATGAACCTTCCTGTGTTGTCAAGTGGATAGTGGAATTCTCACTGGTCAGTTTTGGCAGAGAACTTGAGGGCCATCCAGAATGGCTGCCTACTGAAAACATTCCCATATTAACTGAAACAAAAGAACAGTTAAACTATTTTACCAAGTCATGGAGTTACAAGAGTTGATGTAAAATCATTATTTTAGTGAAAAAGTTATCTTTCAATGAGACGGAATTGCGGAACTCTCATAAATTGATGACGTACAACTCAGAACAGTAGATTCTGGGAATATTTATTCCCAAGAATAATAACCAAGTATATCAACATACTTGTAGTGTAGTGAATTCATATTTTGTTTTTGTTGTTGGTGAACTTGGTTCTGTGTTTCAAAATTACTTCTATTGTGAATACTCACTGAATTTTTCATAATGTATTGGAAGAAATATGAAGAACATGTAGTTCAATGAGGATCACTTCCTATCAGGATCTTTGAGATGGATAAAGTTGAGAATTTCGATGAAATGAAAAAAATCTACGTGGATTGGTGAAAAAAAAAATTGTCACTGATAAATATGATTGTTGACGAAATTTACATAGATTACGTAATCGTGCTGCCATGCTATTGTGAAGTGAGAGATTTCGAAACAAACTTGTCCTTGCTGGAACTGAATAACTTGGAAATAACTATTATCAAAATAATATTCATGAATTTCAATGAAATTTGAAAACATCATACCACTTTTGTGGAAAAATATAAATTATCATTTCAAAGCAAAATTAAGGTAGAAATTCAAAAGTATAACAAATATTAAGAAAATGTTGAAAATGTTTATCAATATCAGTACAAAAGATAATATGTCATTGATATGATTATTATCAGTCCTTCTGATAAGGCAGGTTGTAGACTGATCAATGAAAGTCATTTGTAGGAACATTCTCTTGGACTCATTTTATTCAATTCAAATAGTTTCAGTTGAATTATAATCCATAAAGTGACCTATGGTTGCTGAGAGGTCTCTCAGAATGTAATGTATTACCATGTTCATGTTCAGAAACACAACGTTTGAAAAATCTCGACGTTTGACCGAATCGAATGAGTTTTATCTTCATCCAGATTGACTTCAATAATTCGAAAAATATTTTGGAATTCGAAATATGTAATGAAATGGTGAAGACTATTCAATTCAGAAAATTTAAAGTTACTTCTGATTTTGTAGGGACATAAAAAAACTATGTCTCCAGTCGAAATCTACGAAATTGTTTCATTCGATGAAATGATTCAAAAAAATAATATTGTGAGCTGGCAATACTATTGTGAACTGATTTCATTGATTTCGACACTTCTTTATCAATTACAGAATTGTTATAGTAGTCGCCAATAAAAATTTCAAATCACGATTTCATTGTTTCATCAGATGATAAGTAATTGTTCTAAGCAAGTGTTTACGTTATGATAATAAACCTTGTATTTACAGTATAATAATAATAATAATAATATATTTCTATAAACATGATTGTGTAATACAATAAATGCATAAATAAATAAATGAATGAATATATGGTAAATATAACAGTTAACCCACAAAAGGATATATCCTTGTGCGTGGGTATGCCGTTAAATGTTGGAGGAGGATGTAGCCTTGGTTTTGTTAGAATGTGGCAATAATACAGGGTTGAGAAAAAAATGTTTTTCATGGATTGCTAAGAAGCAAACCTTTCAGGGAGCATGCTGTTACCATCCCAAACATCATTCTTTGTACATATTCAGTGAGTGATTATTGGATCTGAAAGTCATATGCACTTAGTGGCCGACACATACTGTTGCACTTCTGCAGTCACATTCGCCGTCATTTCCAATCAACATATATAATCTGATAATTGAAGACTTGAAATTGATGAGTCTCAAATTATTGTCATCATTACTATCGCACCAATATTATCAAAATAGTCTACTTCCTTTAATGGAAAAACTGATACCTCAAATCACCTGAAATGATTCACACAAGATAACAGGTTTCGTTTTTGTTAAAGTGTTAAAATGTTTCATGGATAACTGTCTTGACAAAATCAATCATTGCAACATGCTGACCTGGATAGAGTATGAAGTATATATTTGAAGTATATTTGTTAGTGATTTTTCTTATTTTTTTTTTGAAGATATCTGCTTCATTCAAAAATAAAATCCCCACGACGAATATCATTTCACTTGGGTGGTCAAAGACCGGGGGCTCGTGACAGAAATTTTGACCCCATTTTTTACCGTCTGCCTCTTCCAGAGTACATATTTACAGCTATAAGCAACAGTACTATGCGTTGAACGATTTTTTCCCATGTTACACATGCTTAAACATCAACTCTAGATTGCATAAAAAAAGGTTCTTTGACTACCATTATACCGTCTGCCATTCACGCGACCGAAAGGCTTGGTTACGCAACCCACAAAAAATAATTGGCAGACAGTTACATGGTGTTCTGGCTAAAGCATGAATTTTTTATTTTATAAAAAAAATTTTCGACTGAAATCAACTTTTAAAAAGTAATAACTTGGATCAACATTTTACCATCTGCCGTTGTTTCCTTGCAATATATAATTATTAAGTAGACAAGTTGTCAATTGGCAGAAGAATCGACCGTATTTAGACGAGAGTGGTAGACAATTTGTGACGACACAAGTGTCAATGCTACTTCACAATTTGGTTTTGGAAATAATTGCAGATTCATAAATGCCACATAAATCGGCCGGGCTCTTGGCTTTCAGCTTTGCGCTGGTTTACCTGCATTCCATGCTGTTATTTCACACTAGCTTTCTACAAAAAGAGTGAAAATAACCTTTGTCGATTTTAATTGGCAATGAAAAGTTTGAAAAACCTTTTGCTTCTTTTGTTGCCGACACTGCACCAATAATTGAAGAATTTATGTGCCGTATGTGTTAGGAATCACACCTTGAAAGGTAAGACCTCGTCAGTCCTTAGCTCGCACAAGTTTCGACTTCTGAGCGACAGCTGGTTAACGGAAAAACATATTTTAAAACGATTTTTTCTCAAGCGAGAGTTCAGATATTTGAAAGGCTTTACGGAGTGATAGATGACATGGAGTCTTTCAAGAAACAAGTTACATCGTTTGACGCATCCAATCTACCACCATGTGCCAGAGAGCTACAGCTACAAATTTGAAGAACAGCATATAAATCAAACATGTGGACCAATTCTTTTGAAAAAATTCCATCTCAATTAGGCCCATTAAATTATGGCTGATGTCACAATGATAATGGACAGTATACATTTAACTGGTTCTAAAGACCTGATACGCCTGAAAATATTCAAGAAAATCATATTAACATCTGCAGGTACGTCAGTATTTAAGAAATTATGAGAACTCAATAAAATGAAAATCCAGCATGAAAATATCGAAAACACTACCTAACGTAATTAATCGACATTAAATAAATGCAGTATCATAAATATGTTCACATATCGTTTAAATAATTTGGCATTTTTTTCGCATCCTTTAAACTGTATCACGAAAATTGATTATTAGATTGCTACATTATTTTTTGTTATAGATCGTATTGAATTTGGTCAGCTCAATGATGAGGAAGTTGCGGATTTGGGAAACGAAAATATTGCTGAAGATCATGATGATGATGATAGTGATGCAAGTTATTTAGTTATGTCGATATAAGAATAAAAATATTGTTTATGTATTTTTAAATCTCGTACATTTATCATTATTTATTCCCACTTCATCAAAACAACTGTTGAAAAAAATGATAATAGAAGCTGTGTCGTTTTGCGGGTGTAACAATGACACTTGTGTCATAAAAAATTGTCTACCACTCTCGTCTATACACGGTCTATTCGTCTGCCAATTGACAGTTCGTCTAGTCAATAATTGTATATTACAAGGAAACAATGGCAGACGATAAAACGTTGGTCAAAGTTATTACGTTTTTTTTGCAAGTTGAAAAATATTTTTCAGTTGTATAAACAGAGTTAATTCATCTGCCAATTGACAATTAGTTTACTTTATAATCATATATATTGCAAGAAAACAATGTCTGGCGGTAAAACTTCGTTCAAAGGCATTACTTTTTGAAACAAATTGAAAATTTTTTTTTCAGTTGTATAAACATGGTCAATTCGTCTGCCAATTGACAATTCGTCTACTTAATAATCATATATATTGCAAGGAAATAATGGCAGACGGTAAAATGTTGATAAAAGTCATTAATTTTTTTTGCTAGCTCATTCGCGTCTGCCTGTATTTGAAACATTGCCAATTTGTCTGCCAACAGTTGTGGCAGGACATTTCAATCATAGAACTTTATTACATTCAAGAGGCAGACAGTAAAACATGGTTCAGATACACTGTAAAAAAATTGTTGATCAAAAAATGCCTATAAATTATTAATACACCGGCAAACCGTCTGCCTTGTGAAAATTCGTTCATTTTATGCTAGTGTTAGTCTACGCTGTGCTTGGCAGACGGTGAAAAATTGATTTTAGTTTACCACTTTTTTGGTTTAATGAAAAATACATGCTTTAGCCAGAACATCATGTAACCGTCTGCCAATTATTTTTTTGTAGGTTGCGTAACCTAGCCTTCCGGTCGTATATATAGCAGACGGTAAAATATTGGTCAAAGGAGCTTTTTTTTATGCAAACTAGAGTTAATGTTTGAGCATGTGTAACATGGGAAAAAATTCGTTTAACTCATAATACTGTTGCTTATAGCTGTAAATATGTCAGAATATGGGGTCAAAATTTCTGTCACGGGCTCCCGGTCTATCAAAGACAACTACATTCAGCATATTAGCTTGCATCAATCTAGGAGTGACTCATCCCAATCAATTCGACATTTCTCATAGCATACAACGTAATCGATCATTCGTAGTGTAACGTGAATATTTTAAAGGTTGGGTTGGGCTAGGTCAAAACTGAGTAGGCCTATTCATCCCTCCACCGTAACTCGCAAGGGTTTATTGTGACTCACACCTATTCGATCTTGACCAAATAAACCCAGCTCCTTGACGAAGTCGATTAGTTTATATGGTTAGTAATCTTTCAGGTCAGATAATAGAAGTGTCGTTCTACCAATCTCTAAAAACCTGATGATTCGATCCGCAGCGGG